TTCCTAAATAAAATTCACAAAACACCTCTACATACTCATTAGAACTCATCTAAACCATTGAAGTACTCATGTAACACTCCAAACACTTCCTACCATTTTCAACCTCCATTTTAGCAAAAGGACCATGTTCTATTCCTCAAGCTTTTTCCAGATCATCCAGCCATTCCAACAAGCTTTTTAGGGTTTAAGGAAGCTTTAAGAAGTGTTTTCTTGTAGTTGTAAACATTGAGAAAGAAGCCTTGGACTTTCTCCAAGAGGTAATATTTTTGGCTCTTAAAACACCCATGTCCATGCATTATTTTGATTCCATTTGATTAGCAAAATGTAGTGTGTAATGTTTTTTGTTGGTTTGAACCATTAATGGCTTTATCTTGTTTGAATATCTCATGGTGTCACATGCTGAAGATTTTTTATATTTCACCGTTGGTGAGTGTTGTATGTTTTATACATTGAGTTTCAGGTTAAATAAATAGTTTATTCGTGTTCCTTGTGAAAAATGCTTTAATTTTGACTTTTATATCACTTGTATTGGTTGAGAGATGGAGGAGTTAGAGGGAGAGAAAGTTATGGCCATCGAAGTTGTTTAGAGCACGAAGAGAGAGAGAGAGAGAGAGAGAGAGAGAGAGAGAGAGAGAGAGAGAGAGAATGATGAAAAGTGAAGTTGAAGAAGATGATTTGAGATGGAAATGACTGGGCGTGATGTGGCGCTGAGGTGGCCATTTCAGGGTGTTGCTAAAATATAATGATTTTGAAGCACATTATGATTGGATGAGAGTGTAGCACCGCTAGTCAAGGAAGATGGTTTGTGTGTTGTGTTGAGCGAAGGTTCTAGGATTCGAACCCCCCCCCCCCCCCCCCTCCGCGAAGACCTTTTTGGTTCCTTTTATTTTTCCTTTCCGAGTTACCACTTGTTTCATATATTATTTCATGATGGTATCAATTATTCACAATGCTCTAGTAGCTCAGATGGTCTTGATTTTGGGCCTGATTGCTTAAGGTGTGGGTCAAACCCCATTAGGTGCATTCCCTTTATTTTTAATACTTTATTTTTATGGTTTCCTTTACAATTTGGTTTGATCATAACTTTCTTAATTTTTATCATTTGGATCTTATTCTTTTTGCATTTTGTTCATGTTGATGACTATTTTTTATTTGTGTCAAAAAATTTCCAAAAAGAATTATTTGTCTTGTGCTTATTCATGTTCAAAGTATGTGACACTTTCAGGGTTTTTAGGATTTCTTTTGATCCTTTGACATTCCTTGCACATTTTGACCTGTATGAACTCTGTGCACCTTGTATGAACCTTACATGATGTAGTAAACTTCTATATCCTTTTTGTTACTTGGTTTTTGTTACTTTTTCAAGCTTATGTTCATATGTGAGTACATAATTGAAACTCATTGAAACTTTGGTTGTTACCTTGATCTTAACATGTGATTTTCTTCCATGATTATGTGACCTCAATACACATGTGTTTTATGATAGTTGTGCCATGCCTTGGGTGTTCTTAAATACTTGTTGTTTTTTTTAAAGATGATTTTAGTATGCATGTTTTTATGTATAAACTCTTGTGATGTTTTCACCTTGCTTGAAACTATGTTGAACCCTAAACTTATCTTTTGGTTGTTACCTACTTGTTATGAACATGTCTTTCTTGTTTAAGTATGGTTGGTTGTTACTTTTTCCATGTCAAGTATTATGATAACTTTTACATGCTTACTTTGATTCCTACCATGATAAGTAATGTCTTGACTTATGCATGTTTGTTTTGAACAATGGTTGATGCTATGATAAGTAATGTAATGACTTATATATATTCTACATCATGTTGTTCATACTTGTCTTATATTCATGATCAATTAGTGTTAGTAAAACCTAATGCATGTTTGTTTTGTTATGAACTTCAACTTGTTCCATGATTGTTTATATGTTGTAACATCTATGTTTGAATACATTCCCATTGGTTTTCACCATGATTTGTAAATTCTTTGAGATGTATTCTTGGTTTTTACTTTGCCTTTTTTGACTCTGTCAAGTCTTTACTTTGAATTTTGCCACATTCGCTCTCATGCTTTGTTTTTTACCATAGTTAATTTCTTCATGTTTGATTTATTCTTAATATCATGTTTGAACATCATCTATTGTCTTACCCTCTTAACTTTATTAAGTTTTCCTCAAGTGATTTAGCTTGTTAGCTTTCATCCTCAAGTTATCCCTTATTTCTTATTCCAAAGGAAGGTCTCTCTATTTACTTAATGTCATATATAACTCATTTCTTCCTCTTGACCTTGTTAGAGTCATTAGGTCTTTCAACTTAGATTTAATTTAGAACCTAAATCCCCTATGAATTTTTTAAATTCAAGACCTTAACATACCTTTTTAGGAGTCCTATAACTTAGAGCTTAGGTCTAGAGTTTGTTAACTCTAGGTGTGTATCATTGTTATGTGTACTCACTTTTCCCCTTCACTTTTGTTAAATTCAAATGCTCAGTTAGTTTTCCACTTAGACTTAGAGAGTTTGTTAAACTCTACATAAGTATCGTTGTTATGAATACTTATTTCCCTTGGAACCTTGGCCATAGTCAAGAGTTCTTTCACCCTAATTAGGCAAACTATGATTGCTCTGAATCCATCCTTGTTAGGATAGATAGGCACGGGATGCGATGTCTTGGCGAGCATACTTAGTGTATATACCCATAGGTCTTTACCTTTAGAACCCTTACCTTAGCATATAACCATTAGCAAGCAAACATTAGAAAAAACACCAATACCTAACAAGAGGCTCCTGTAGAGTACTACAGATACTTAGGATGCTAACACCTTCCCTAAGTATAACCAACCCCCAAACCCCGCAATCTTTTAACTTCGTTGTTACGTAGTGCACTTAGGATTTTTTATCGATCTTTACCCTTTCCTTTGGATAAATCAAAGTTTGGTGGTGAACTTCAATGATTTGTGATTCAAGTTAAGTAATAGTTTGATATCTGAAATTCTCACTGCAACAGTAGTTTAGGTGTTGATTTGGTTTCCACTGGTTAGATAATTTATCTCATTGCATTTTTATTCATATCTTGTGCTTAATTTACATTATCACTCAATAAATGCTCATTCATGTAACCCAATGTAGAAAGGTTACAGTGCCTTATTACATATTAAATATAGTGTTATAGACTACAATATATTATATGATATTAGTAAAAGTTCCAAATGTGTTCTTAGAAGATTGTGTTTCCTATCTTAGAAGAACGTGGAGGATAATTGCTATTACTATATTAGAAGAACGTGGAGGATAATTATTATATGAAATGGTTGTTTTTCCTAAACATTGTTATAACATATAAATGCTCAAAGTTATTATTAGGGAGAGAATATATCTCTGAGTATATAGCCATTGAAAATGATCTAGCGGAATTAATTTTTAAAGTATTATTCGTTCCATATTCATTTCCTAATTAATTATTTGGAATATTAAACAATCACTCCAAATCTCATTAATTATTTATGATTGATTTCTTTTAGTTAAAGTATATAAATGATTTTATCTCCTTTTTCTTTTTATGTTTTGTTTTCCTTTATAAACATGTAAATGACCATTTCATTTTTATTGGGTATGGTTTGTTTTGTTAACTGGAGTTTTCTTTGACTCCAGAATGTTGTGATTGCATAAAATTTATCTCAAGATGAGGATCTTTGTTAATTGAAGTTTTCTTGTACTGCATAATTATTGTTACTGCAAAACATTCATCTCAAGAAAAGGATCTTGGTCAATGACTAGAATAGGAGAGGTTGGTTCCCAGTACGTTGAATGCTTGAGTTTTGTTTTTTTGTTTTTAACCATATGTTAATAAATTGGTTCCCTGTACGTTGAATGCTTGAGTTTTGTTTTTTTGTTTTTAACCATATGTTAATAAATTGGTTCCCTCTGTTTGATAACTAAACTTAATCTCTTTCTAGAAAATTAAGCCTTCCCTAGAATATGGAATGATATCTTTATAGAAGTCTATATATACACACTAAAAAAAAATTGTTCAATTAAATAAGTAATATTATTATTTTGTCATCGCCAATGGATAACGTCCGTGTATATTAACTTTTATATTGATGTGTTTGAATACATTGAACAAAACTTTATATGAATATTTTAATTCATCTTCGAAATTGTTACACTCAACTTCATTTTTTGGATAACTTCATTCTTGCTAGCCCCTTGAACATAATAAAGATAGGAGTATAAAAAAAGTAAGATAGATAATACAAACTAATTTTGATGGTGAGTATAATAGAATATTGATGGTGATACACAACTCCTGTTAGCGATGGTTGGTAATTGTCATATAATGAAACACATGCTATCGTACACTCATTTACACTTCTCAAAAATATATTTTAAACTCCCGTATAGATAATATCCTTTTATAAATATTTAATATAGATGCACTAACATTATGAGTTAACTAAAATACAAAATAACTTAAGGTAACATAGAAATATTACTATGAACCTACAAGGGGTAATTGGAACCTACGAGGGCTAATTGGAACACCGTGAAATATATTAAACTTCCTTTACTATAAAATTGTCTTTTCTCATTATTTTTTTAATATATCTTTTATCTACAACTTAAATTAACTCAATTTTTCATATAAATTTTTCTTTGGGTAGTAGTTTTTCATATAATTAAGTTATACTAATTCCATTTCTTACACCATTTTATATTTTAATGTTTAGTTAATATGCAATTTTTTCATCTATTTGTCCAACCTAATTTATGTTTCGTTTAATTGATTGCCCATTTCTTCTTCGTATTTTTTATGTTTTAGTTTAGATTTATATTTTTAACATATTTTTTACAAATATAACTTTTTGGAGTAACTTTTTTTTTTCTAAAAAAAATATATTTATTTTAAATCCTATCTATATTTACTGCTATTTTTCAACATAATTAGTGAAATTATGTTGCTTATAAATTACATATGTGTTTGGCAGTTACATTAACAAAATGGAAAATAATACCCATCAGATATCAAGTCAGCAACAAAGGGCAAGAAGGGCCAAAAACGAAAGAAAGAGGAGACAAAATATGAATGTCGAGCAAAGAGAAAACCATTTATTGATACAATGTGGCAATTATAGGCGGCGAAAAGAGCAAGATAAGCAAGCTCAAACATCTCGCACTATAAATAGTCGACGAAGAGTTCCATTTTAAAATTTTACAAATATGACATTTCCAAGATCACACTTTCAAGGAACTCATGACAATGAAGCTGGCCCAAGTAGAATTACACATGTTGATGATGATCAATATAGACATTATAATCGCATATTGTATAATATTGTTTATTTGTCATCTCTCGTTTTATGTAAATTTCAACACACACACACACACACACACACACACACACACACACACACACACACACACATATATATATATATATATATATATATATATATATATATATATATATATATATATATACATGTTAATGATTATTTTTGTATAAGGCGATATGGATGTTGGTGAAGCTTTGAAGGATGCAGTAATATCAGATGTTAACATGGAAGCCATAGATAATGGTGCATCGTCATGTCGCCCTCAAGGTATGCTCATAAACATTTTGTGCCAAATAATGCAGCTTATACTCAAGTGACATAAAACTGAAAATTATGCAATATTAAATCTTCTAATTTAGGAATCTTGCGTTAATTATTTATTTGTATTTTAGATTTTAGATAATATTTAGCAATCAATATCAAACTCCTGCCTATAGAATTAGGACGCGCTTTTCGAGCAAGAAACAATATTGATCGAAATTTCAAAAAAAAATCGATGATGGAAAAATCCTGGTTGCCTAATCCAATCACCTGTAGCCATTGCAATGCAAAATTGTTTCATCATGAATCAAGTGATACGTGTTGTACTGGTGGAAAGGTATAATCTTCCCGAGTTAATGATCATATAGCATTACAACAATTATTTTTGGATGGTTAAGCAGAAGGAAGGCATTTTAGGCAACATATTCGAAGTTACAACCATGTGCTGTCATTCAATTCAATTGTTGTTCATGTTGATGAGAATATTCTTGCATCTGGTCGTGGTATATACACATTTCGTGCTCAATGTGCTTTTTACCATAACATAGGAGGTTTCTATCCAAATGATGGTGCCAGACCGCGTTTCTTATAACTATACATCTATGACACAGATAATGAGCTACATAATAGAATGTAGGCAAATCCACAACTCCACCAAAATGTAGTTCAAAAATTACAAAAAATGCTCCATCAGTTTAATCCTTTTGTAATTAGGTTCAGGAAACTGTCACAACTTCCAAATATCGGTGAATGTTGCCTCATACTTAAAGAGTGTCCAAGTAATCACCATCAATATAATCTTCCAACTGCAGAACAAGTTGTGGCAATTATTGTTGGAGGAGATTCAGATTCTATGGAATATGCAAGGGATATTAATGTCATTTGTCATAATGGAAATCTAAAGAAAGTTCAAGAGACAAAGGGATATTATGATCCTTTGCAGTATCCTATATTGTTTCCATTTAGGACGCATGGTTGAGACGTTAACACAACAAATTGTAATGGACAAAGATTGTCATGTCGAGCATATTACATCACGCTTTAGGTAAATTTAGATTAATTTTAGTTAATAGTATACTTAGATAAGCATAGTTTAAAACACATTACTTTTAACACCGACATGTTTTTCAATCAATTATAGATTCTCCCAAATGATAAATCAATGTTGTTAAATGCGGGTCGACTATTGCAACAATATGTTGTAGACAATTATGTAAAAATTGAATCAGGGAGGTTAAGGTGGATTAGAGAGCACCAACGTGATATACGTGTTGAAGTGTACCAAGGTTTATAAGATGCTTTGCATGTTGGTGAAACTAATGCAAGTACTAAATAATGTAGCATAAATATATATTTTTAGATTACTAATTAGTTGTACTTATAATGATAATCTTTCATGTATTCTAAAGCTGATACATTTCATGAATCACCATAGAAAACATTGGAAAAAGAACAATATTGCCATTATCATTTATTGGAGGTCGTCGAGACACGACACAATGTTATGAAGATGGCATGGCTATTGTTCTTAATGGCGGTAAACCAGATGTTTTTCTGACAATGACATGCAATCCTTCTTGAAGTGAGATAACATCAGAACTTTTGCCTTTTCAAACACCACAAGATCGTCCATATTTGCTAACAAGAATGTTTCGTTCGAAACCCGAGCAATTAAAGGATGATGTTATTAATAAAGGAGTCTTAGGAAAGGTTAAAAGCTACATGTATGTCACTGAATTTCAAAAATGAGGATTTTCTCATGTGCATATGTTGTTGGTCTTAGAAAGTAATGACAAATTGCGTGACCTAGAAGAGTATCATAGTGTGGTAAGAGTAGAAATACCTAAGTTAGAATGTGAACCACGATTGCATGAAGCGGTTCTAAAACATATGATCCACAGACCTTGCGGAGTTATCAACTAGAAGTCCCCATGTATGAAAGACGGGCATTGTAAAAAAAATATCCAAAACAATTCTTGGATAAAACACGTCAAGGAACTAACTCATATTCTGAGTACATGAGAAGGTTTGATGAACCTATATCATTAGGTAGAGGTAGGTCTATCGACAATAGATGAGTAGTTCCTTATAACCCTTGGTTACTGTTAAAGTATGATTGCCACATCAATGTAGAGAGTTGTAGTAGCATTAAAAGTATCAAATATCTATACAAATATGTGTACAGGGGCCCTGATCGTATGGCTATGGAGGTTCACAAAGGATCATGCATGGATGAAGTTCAACAATATGTTGATGCAAGATGAATTTGTGCTCCCGAGGCATTATGGAAAATATTTTGCTTCACTATTTACCAATTATATCCTTCTGTTGAAAGATTACAGATCCACTTGCTGAACCGCCATTAAGTGTGCTTTTATGATCATCAACAAATTGTGGATTTGTTAAATAATGAACGCAATTCCAAAACAATGCTCACACAATTCTTTGATTTAAATCTAAGAGATCCAGAAGCTAGAAGTTATCTGTATAGAGAGATTCCAGAGCATTATTGTTGGAATAATAGGAACAAGGAATGGCATCCCAGGGTGTCACTAAGAAAAGTTATTGGGAGAATCTATACAGTATCACCTTTGAAGGGATAGAACTTTTACTTGCGAGTATTATTATCTCATGTCAGAGGTCCAACCAGTTAGGAATATCTTACAAATAATGGCACTCCTTTCAGTATATTAAAAAAATCAACCGAGGATAGAGGATTTCTAGAGACTGATCATAGTATTCATGATTGTTTGGTTGAGGCTGTGAGTCTCCAAATGCCATATGCTTTAAGGAGGTTATCCATGATGATTCTCATATTTTGTGAACCTAATGATGTTAGAAGCCTTTGGAATGAGTTTTTTAGACATATGATAGAGGATTATTAAACAACAAACAACGTTGTGGAATCGTTCTTGACTAATATGTTATTGAAGGACTTGAATGAACTCTTAAACTTGCACAATAAAAAGATTGAAGATTATGATCTCCCATCTTTACCCCTTAATACAATACAAGGAGATTCAATTCCAAGTGTCATACAAGAGGAGTTAGCGGTCGATATCCCCAATGAAGATATTAAATTTGTCGCTAAGTTAAATAATGACCAAGTGATTGCGTTCAAAACCATTATGAATGTAATTGATCAAAAACACAGTGGGGTATTTTTTGTTGATGGTCTAGGAGGAACAAGTAAAACATTCCTTTATCGAGCATTAATGGTGAGTTTAAGAAGTAGAGGAGAAATTATCTTGACAACTGCATCATCTGGTATAGCTGCAACATTGTTACCCGATGGTAGAACTACACACTCTAGATTTAAGATACCTATCGATATACAACCCAGTTCCATTTGTGGTATTCAAAAGCAAAAAGATCTTGCAAATCTCATTAGGGTTTCAGCTGCAATAATTTGGGATGAAGCCCCAATGATAAAAAAAAATTGTTTGGAAGCCTTAGATAGATCAATACAAGACATTAGTAGCAACAATGCTCCATTTGGAGGAAACGTTATGATCATGGGGGGAGATTTTTGTAAAGTTCTTCCTGTTCTAAGAAAAGGTACTAAGGCACAAATGATTTCTGCGTGTATTGTTCAGTCTCCTTTATGGGCTCATACCAAAATTTTGCGATTACGTCAAAAGATGCGATCATTGCATGATCAAGAGTTTTCAGAATTTCTTATGCGCATTGGTGATGGTGTTGAACCTACCAAACCAGATGACATGGTGAGGTTACCTTCACAGATTGCAGTCCTATGGGAAGGTGACCATTCCATACAATTACTTATCCAACATATTTTTCCTGATTTAGAATTGAATGGTTGGGATGCCCCTTATATGGTAGAAAGAGCTATTTTGACCCTAACAAATGATGATGTCCAAAAATTGAATGATATAATTATTGACCAGTTTCCAGGAGAAGAATATAATTTGTTATCGTTTGATGAGGTTGAAGGGGATAATAATAATTTATACCAGCAAGAATTCTTAAACTCAATTGCACAAGGTAGTTTGCCACCACATATTCTATAGATGAAAAAGGGTGCACCATTGATGTTGTTGTGAAATCTAGATCCTAGATATGGGTTGTGTAATGGGACGCGGTTATTATGTTGTGGTTTATATATGAATATGTTGGATGTGGAAATCTTGATAGGAAACAACGTAGGAAAACGTGCTTTCTTTCCCAGAATCAAAATAAAAACATCGACAAGTGATGGGTTGCCTTTTGTCCTTAGTAGAAAGGAGTTTCTTGTGCGACTAAATTTTGCAATTATAATAAATAAGTCACAAGGATAAACCATTCCAAATGTTGGAATATATCTTCCACGACATGTTTTCAGTCATGGACAGATATATGTGGCTTTATCTAGAGGTGTTTCACATACTATAACAAGAGTTTTAACCCGGGAAGGAAAATTGGAAAGAGAAGACGGTGACTACACAAAAAATGTAGTCTTTAAACAAATTCTTGTATCGCACCCGTAAGTATCATTACATACATTAAAAAAATAATCTTACACATTGATTCCCATTTTAGTTACATGAAATACCAATATTATATTGTATTCTTTATATGATAACTAAGTATAAAATTATGTGGCTTTGATAT